TGGTGAAAGGGGGTTTTTAATTATTATTTCCTACAGTATCATTTAAGGGAAGAGAGAAATACACACACTTGTTCCTCTTTGACTTTTATTGGGAAGCAAGCATAGTGCTACTACTGTGAAATACTAATCCCTTTGCATCTGTTGAATCATATGTTCAGTATGATTGGCTATTTGTTTTGGCCTGACAAAGAAATTTTATTGGGATTTAATGACTTTTCTCTCTTAGAAGAGGGGTAAGTTAAAGGGTATCCCATGGGCTTGTGACAAGGTTTTAAATTTAAAGACCACAAAGCAGCATTAATACTAGAGTTCGTGCAGCCTGTTTAAAAATTGTTCTTGGCAAAAACTCTGCGACTATCATTTTATTAGTTAACAGACTCTTAGAGATAATTTGGAGCTGAGCCAGAATGGATATGTTTCTCCTGTAGACCAGATCTGTAGCTGGCCAATTTCTGACACTGGTGTTTTTGTCAATTAGCGGAGTTGCAGCCATTACTTGATCTTCACGCATCTCTCTCAATACACCAGAGCAAATCGTGATGGAGAGCTTAGAGAGTGGGCTACAGAGCTGTGCGCTTGCTCGCGCGTCTCCTTCCAACCCCCAACTTAGTATGGAGTTCCCGTGTGGAGAGAAGCCTTTCAGGACGATTTACAGTCAGTGGATGGGGAGTGACAGGGGTAGTAATGAGATACGGAGCTTTTACCACTAAGTCAGTGATGTGGATCCAGCCCAAATTGGTGTTGACCTGAAGACATCCCTGCCTGACAGCTGTTTCCCACCACGCTGTGGTGGTTACAGCCGGTTCTTTAAGGACAGGTGTGACTCTCAAAGGGACCGAATGAACAAGCGTGTAGAAATACTGGCTTCCACTGGAGGGACTGTAGTGCTAGAGCAGAGCTGAGGTGAAGAAGTGTAAGACGATTGCACGGGCAACAAAACTCCTGATGAAATAAATGCATAACCTTTAATGCTATCTTCTAGCTGTAGCGGTTGTATCCTGCAAAATGCTTCCAGTTACCATAGAATCAAATAAATCACCTCATTAATCAGTAAGTGGTGTCTAGTAGAAGGGCTGTTGATGCCAAGACGAAAAAATAAATATAAGCAGGGAAGAAGAATGGGCCTAAAATGAGGGTGTGTTTTATTCTCACTTTTGCAGCTGATCTGAAGAACGAAGTTGTTATCATAGGTGAAATGAAATTTGGACTGCACAGGTTTTTGAGAGATGCCATTTAGGAGCATTATAGATATGCAATATTCAGCTTCTAATATCTGCTGGGTTTTATGGGTCTGGTCCAAAGACCATTAGAATTGAAAGGAAAGTGCCGTTAACTCCAGTGGCCTCAAACCCTTCCTGAGCTAAGAGAAGGTGCAGATTTGTTTTGGGGTGTTTTCTGATTCTCTGGAGAGCTCGGTCTTCTCGGCAGCTAAACCCTATAAAATGAATGTAGATTCAGCAGACGTGCAGGAGAGGTAGCAGAAGTATCAAGTGTAATGCACTGTCCAATGCCGGGTGTTCTTAGTGCTCTCTAGAAGTCTACGACAGCAGGTGAGTATCCCGAAAGGGGCTAGCCCAAAAAGCAAATGTTGACTAATAGTTTCAAGCATGTTGAAATACTTTTGGTTTCAATAGTTTTGAAATTACTGATGTACATAGTCGGGATTTTCTCTTAAAAGAGAATGTAGAGGGCTATTGGAGCACTCAATTTACTAAAACTGAAAGCTCATTTCCAAGCACCGTTGACTTCAAATGTGTTAAAAGAAAAATAAAACCAAAACAAACAACAACCCAACCCTGTCCCCTCCCCAAAAAAACCCCATGAGAGTGTGATTAAATATGATGTAAAGTAAGGAGAGATGTCTAAAAATATCAGCCAGCTTTTTATTCATGAAACTTTATCTCCTGTCCTTGCTTTGCCTTGCCTTGACATTTGGCATAATTATTTTTCCAGCAGGTGGAATTGTCCTTATTTAAATAAACTGAATCTAATGCTATGGTCTGCCTTAGCCAAAACTCAGGCTGTGTTGGTTCATATTGACAGGCAGAGAGCTCCTTTCGTGCCAGCACAGGAGACTGCTGAAAAAAAAGTTTTCAGATGTAAAAGAAATAACAGAAGTTCTGTACCTCCTTCATGTTATCATATATTATGGCTTCAGCTGGAAGAGCTTTCTAACACAGGTCCTTCTTTAGTGTTTTTGCTCCACGAAACTGTGTAACAACAGTAATGTGATATCTCTGTCTTTCAGGTTTCGTTTCTTGGATATTAAGTTGCAGATCTGAAGAGATGGCATTTCTTGCGCTGCACGTGTTGATTGGGATATTTATTTACGTTGGCAGTGTAAAAGGATCTTCCCAGCCTCAAGCAAGGGTGTTTTTAACATTCAATGGTAAGAAAGAAGATAAACATTCTTAAGCAAATGTTATGACTGAACATTTTCTTCTTCCCCTAAAACTCAATAATTGGCTTTTTGATCTGCGTCCACAATTACTATTTCTGGTTTGTGCTGCTGAGGTACCTGTCAGCCTACATTTGATTTTTACCTGCAGTTCGTTGCTACTATAGCTATAGGTAAATAATTAATAATACTTTTTCTTTATTTTGGAAGTTATTATGACTTACTAACAACTAAAGGTTTTATTTCTTAAACTTAATTTTGTTTGGGAAAGATGATAGCACATGGCATGTAGTGGAAGTTATTAATGATTTGGGTTGCTTTCATTCGGTGCCCAACTGAGACACATTATACTCTGAAAATCAGGCGGCTTGAAGGTTTACCAAGATACTTCGCAAGGCACAGAATCCTTTGGCAAAATATCATTCCTTGCACACTTTGTACAATGTGTCGGATGTACAGAGCATGTAGAAAGCACTGATTCCAGCATACTGTAAACAAGCAATCAAAAATATTATTTTCAGAAAAGTGCATTTACTTCTTAAGTGATGAGCAGTACCTTATTACTGCAATTATCTCAGTATTACTTTAATTGTCAGGTAGCTTACTCTTCTAATATTAATCACTGTCTTAAATGCTGATTTTAGCACCACTTCAGAATATGTATTCTTTGGACTTAGTAGTTGTGTTAAATTTGAGCAGAAATTCTCCATCTCTCTGTGTAGGGGCTTTAGCTTTCCTCAGCCCTCTGCCTTTTCTGTGGTTGCCTTTGAGGCGTGAGGGCTTGCTACTCCCTGCACCGGTACTGTCTGCTTTAGGATGGTTTGTGTGATTTGCAAGTGTGGGTGTGCCCTGCAACTGCCATGTCCTGCCATGGGAATATTCGTGTGCTCTGAATAGTCTTTAAAAATCACTTTAATGGTAATAATAGCTAGTATCTCAAACTGCTATTCACAGCCATGATCATAACTATGTACTCTGGAGTCTAAGAGACATCCAGAGGGAGACACGGAAAGTTAGACCTATAAATACCAAACGGCAGACTGAACAATTACAAGATATTGTATATTAAGGAGTATAGGGCCCTAAACTTACGAGCGTGATACTTAATAGGTGTAAATTGGCATGGTTCTGGTAAAAGCAGTAGTGGAAATTTCATTTGGCAGTTCCCTCTTGGAATGCAGAGTAGGTGGGAATTTCTTTTCCTTGCTTAAGTAATGCTGACTTAATGTAGATGGTACTGATTCTACACAACTCAATGCAGAAGCAAGTTTGGCTGTGACTGTGTATTACACCTGCCAGTTTGCCACAGTTATGCAAAACAGGCTGATTCAGATTTCCACATCGTGTCCATGGTGGCCTTGAAAGTCTCCTAGGCTTGCCTGATCTCTGCTAGGAACATGAAGTAGGAAGTGTTCGTGTTTAGCTGTATTCAACCTTGTGAATGGGAAAGAATCATAATGAGGGGCAAATAGTTTTAACCTGGGCTCAAGACACTTGTGTTTTGTTTCTTGGCTCCTCACAGGTCTCCTGCAAGTCTGAAACACAGAAGCACCAGTAGGGCAAAAAACCCCAAACCTAGGGATTTAGAAAAAATAATGTCTGGGTGAATTAAAACCTTAGTTTCTCTGTCCCTCTCTGTAAGGAGGTTGTCTGCCCTTCCTTTAAAAGGGCTTATGACAGCTTTATGTCACAGTGACCATTTCCTCTGGCGAGATTCTTGGACCCCAAGATCTCTGGCACCCCATGCCAGCCCTGGGGACATAGCCTCAGCTCTCCAGTTCCTGACAGTAACCTTGCTGGGCTGCCTTGATTACAGGTCTCTCCTGCAGTAGCCTGTACAGTAGTTGCATATCTCGTCCTCTTCTTGATTTTTGAATGATGCTTTGAATGGATAAATCTGAGAGTGTCTAGCCTTAGTGAAAGTTAGGGGAAAGTAAGTGTCACCAGAGCCTTGCAATACTGTCTGATTCTCTTAAAATGGACATTTTACTTTCTCTGATACTTACCTCAACATTCAACCATAAAAAAAAAAACAAAAAAACAACAAAGCTGTGCATTTTAAAGCCCTTTATTTTTAATGGATCTTTCAAAGTCATGAAAGTAAGAAATTAATAATTCATTTTATAGTATGACAAGTAATGTTTGAAATAAAGGGCTGAGCTTTTCAAACAATATAAAATGAGTAATTTTATTTTTAAGCCCAGTTTCCAGATGGTAAGAAACAGCTTTCATTATGTGAAAAGAGCTTGCACATTGTTGTGTGTAACAAGGTAATGGCCTCACCTGTAGCATGAATATCTGTTCTATAAATCTTCATTGATTTACGTGGGTACTGATAAAAGAGGAAAAGGTCAAATTTTCTGTTGTTCTCTTGCCAAGTGTGATAACATACTCTTTCTGCATAAGTTGCTTCATAGTTTATTGTTTTTAAATCATGTAGAAATACCAAGTTATTGGCTGTCTCCATGCCCTGAGAAGTTGTCAGTTTTTGTGGAGAATTGTCACTCTTCTGAAGTGCATCATTTGAAAATAAAGCTATAATTAGGACTCCTTATGTTTCAAATGACATTAGACAATAAAGACAAGTCATTCAAGCTTAGAATACTTACATGATATTTTTTAAATTCTGAATTGGGTTTGGCTTGGTGTCTGTAATTACATTGCATAAGTTTTGGGGGTAGAATGTATACAGAAGGAGAAAATGGGTGATGCTTTTCAAAGCTAACCTGCGCCTTCAGTATCAAGTCAATTGAGCTTATTCACATCGCAGCATTTCTCATGGGAAAATCCGGCAAGTATCTTGACCTATTCTGTTGTTCATCGGGAAAGATAAAAATGCGAATCGTTTGAATCATGGGCTGCTTTTCTCTTTGCCATCTACTTCATTAAGAATCAAATGTAATTAAAAAAGTAAGCCTGGGTAATACCTCAAGAGCCTGATAATAGGGACTTTGCAATTAACTTCAGTGGATGAACGACTGCAACCCTTATTTCTATTTTTGAAATCAAAAGCCTGGCTCCTTGTCTAATTAAAATGTAGTTCATGACTTAACTGAGATTGTTAAATGTGCGTCTGATGTGACAGTGGAACTTACTGCTGTCTGCACCCTGAGTGTTTTGAAAATTGCAGAGCCGTACAGAACCCTGAGGCCTGATTTCTATTGCTTTGCACCTTGTATAGACATTTACTTGGATGAAAAAAAAAAAGGCCAGGCTGGAGCTGAACTGCATGCTTTGCACAGGTATACGTGGTTACACATGGCAGTAGGCCTACAGAGAATGAGGCAAAAGGGTTCTCTGTTTGGAATGATTTATCATAACTGAATTGTCCTGTTCAGCTGTGATGGCCCAGACCATCGATATTTGTACAACATCTGCACTTGAAGAGCTGCTGCAGTTGAAGAAAGAAAGATGGCTCCAGCTTTTTCTGATTCTGAAACTGAAGCCTGTGGCGCAGCAGCTGCGGTAGTGTTGGGGAATCATCTGCTGTTTTACTACGGAGCATGGAAGAGTGAGGGAACAAGTCTCCCTATGCTGTTAGTATACCATCCCCCCTCCTCTTACTACTTCTGGCTCCTTGTCCCCGGAATAGATCTTCCTTAATCTTCTCAAATGACCCATCATAGTTTAAAGCACCATAGTTTATTTTGTCCCCATAGCAAAACACTTACCTTATCTGTTTATGAACTATGAAGTATAGTGCCTGCAGTTTCTCAAGCTACGAGCATTCCTCCTTGTTACGGCACGTTCCTGAACAAATCATTTGGAGCTCTGTCCTCCAGTCTTTACAGGGGCAAAACCTTTCTCAAATCAGGAGGAGTGTTATCGAAGTAAGAAAGGAGTTATTAGACTCAGGATAGTGCCAGACTTTCATTTCATTCCAACTCAACATCTACATTTTGGGTTTTATTGCAACCTTAAAATGTTGGGTCATACCATTTTAACATCAGATTCTGAGTCAAAGCAGTTCCTGTGCTTGTTTTTGAAAATGCACTCAAACAAATCTTCTTTGAGCTTTGAATTTATATGGAAACGCACAACCAAGGGATAATTTCACAATTTACTGGGAACATTTCATGCATTCCTACCTAAAACGTCTGGTCAAGCAGATATTTCCCATGCAGATTCTCCCATTGTCTCCAGTGAAAATTCTATACGAGAAGTGGATCAAGGCTAGTTTGAAGATGGTTTTGTTCCTCTTTTTGTCATAAAATTACTAGAACATGTAAAGCACTTTTAAGAAAGTATCAGTCAGCTTCATTAATGACAATTAAAAAGCATAAAATGTCACCAGAGCAACAGTAGCACTTATTCAACTGTCAACATATTTTAAAAGATTTAATGCAACCCCTGTGGTTACCCTCAAGGAAAAATAAAGGAACTGAGAACCATTTTCTTTGAGCTCTTGAGCAACAGTAGTACAACTTGTTTTTAAACAATCCCCCATTATAATGTTAATGTTACCACAGTTAATAAAAAGTTCATTTATTATTTGGGGAACTTTGTGCTGATGACAGTCTAGTAGGCAACGGTTTATGCTCAAATAGCTGATTGGATCTTTGGTGGTGTCCACAGAATGAAAGCTACTTGCAAAATGAAGTAGAGGTAAAGCATTTAAAAAAAAAAAAAAAAAAAAAAAGGAAAGAAAGAGAAAAGAAGAAGAGAGAGAGAGAAAAGAGAAACAAGTTTTTATTTTTGTTTACATGCAGAACTCATGCAGAAATCTCTTGAGTGTTTATATACTTGCATAATTTTCAGCAAATTGTGGGTCAGATTTTCTCAAAACTAACTGGTTTGTGGCTTTGACAGCTTCATGGATCTTAAATAATACTAATTTATAAAGCATTGAACACCAACCATGTGAAAATTCTTCCCGTTTAATTGTCTCACACTGGAGATCTAAAAACTTAGCTCACTTTTGAATGCTGTCAACTAAAATTAAAATTACTTCTTTAGTGGTGAAGTTGGTATTTTTACATTTAGTGGAACTG